GTTCATAGAAATGTTTTTTACCAGCTTGTAGCCAAGTTTCTGACATTTCTGTAGATACCAAACATGTCTATGTTTAACTAAAAGAACTTATATTTATTAAAGTAGAAAACAGGGGTTTAGGCTGAAGAGATGAATGAACCAATTCAGGCCAAACGTTGGTCACCAGCTGAATATCCTGCCTGGTTTTATCACAATGTGTACATTTATATAGAAATAACTTTTTTTTCCACCGCTGACATGTTTGTGGTAGAATAAACTGTTTGTCTTCTTTCTTAAAACACTGATAATGTTATATGATGACACAGAACATGAGAGAATTTGACATTTATCAAGTCTTGATCTATTATGAGCCCCGCACAGAAAGCAGGCACGGAACCGTCAACTATAGCATGGAAACAGCTGCACCCATCAACATGAAATTTGGCAGGAATGTAGTTGAGTCTGACCTACACTGCGCCAGCCAACGGTTTTACGATAGACCCCATATTTGAGGAGGGGGCTCCATCTAAAGAGGGGGTTTCTGGACAAAAAAATGCTTATAATTCAATCCAGTTAGGAAATGATGGATAAACCAGTTCCAGCAGTGACTCAGAATTGTAGTGAAAATGTGAGTTTTCAGCCTCTGACGTGAGTTGAGTTGTATCTTTGCTGGCAGTAAACTCAGTCTAGTGGTGCAGGAGCAAAACAAACACGAAGAGTGATGGGACCGATTAACATCCAGGCAGAACAAGGTCTGACTGTGGCTTCAAGGTACGCCGACACTTCAAAGTGTCACACCTTGTCATGAGAATGACACTCTGTCAGAGAGGATGCAACATGTAGGAGTGTAATGTGTGACAGGGTACAATGTGTTACCCTCAAAAAAAAAAAAGATGGAGCACAAAGACGTGACGCTCGAGGACATGCAGATATTTTGGGATTCAACAAATGAAAAGTCATTTAAAAAAAACCCTAATTGAATTAAAAATAATATGGTCTGGATGTTTATTAGCACCCAGATATTCCTATTTTTAATCTAGTACAATTTTATTATAAGAAAGTTTCCTTTATTTCTCTAAAGTAGAATTGGCAAAAATGCACATTTTTGTAATCAAAAACAGATTGAGTTGTGTAAAGACTTGGAAGAATTGATGCAGGATGAATTCTTCTAATGCAAAGGAACAGCTGAGTGATGACTTCTGAAGTTTAACAGAAATGACAGATTATCACCGAGGATCAATTTCAGGACTTTTCACTGCAAAAAACTGTCCACCAAACCAAGTTTTAAAATCTTATATCAGTCAAAAAGTCTTTTTGATCTTGTTTTGAGACTGATTTACTAAACAAGTTCTGATTATGTAAGAATAATAATCTTGTTTTCAGAATGTGTAAGATTATTTGTCTTGTTAGTCTGAAAATTTGACTCAAATTAAGTCAAAAT